ATAGTTTAATTCAGTATAAAGCAGGTTCATGTGTGTGCAGGTTGCATCTCAAACACATACCCAGAAGTGTTCCATTTAGTTAAAAAGGGATGATGGAAGTTTCAAATGGTGATACAAAGACACTATTCTTATTCGGTTTGATGTAGTGGTTAAGTGCACAGACTCTGAACTGGGTTTGATTCCCCACTCGCAGCTGCTGGAGGACCTTGGGCAAGCCGTAGTTAACATAAGAACATAAGAGACGCCAAAGGCCCATCCAGTCCAACACTCTGTATCACACAGTGGCCAGAAATACCAGGTGCCATCAGGAGGTCCAGCAGTGGGGCCAGGACATTAGAAGCCCTCCCACTGTTGACCCCCCAAGCACCAAGATGACAGAGCATCACTTGCCCCAGAGTCCCTATCTATACCTTGTGGCTAATAGCCACTGATGGACCTCTGCTCCATATGCTTATCTAATTCCCTTTTGAAGCCGTCCATGCTTGTAGCCGCCACCACTTCCTGTGGCAGTGAATTCCAAGTGTTAATCACTCTTTGGGTGAAGAAGTACTTCCTCTTATCCGTTCTAACCCGACCGCTCAGCAATTTCATGGAGTGCCCACGAGTTCTTGTATTGTGAGAAAGGGAGAAAAGTACCTGTTTCTCTACCTGCTCTTTCCCATGCATAATCTTATAAACATGACAAGTTCTGACAAGAGCTGTCCTTGAACGAGCTCTCTCAGCCCCGCCTACCTCACAGGGTGTTTGTTGTGGGGAGGGGAAGGGAAAGGAGTTTGCAAGCCGCTCTGAGACTCTGAGTGAAGGGCGGGGTATAAACCCAGTCTCCTCCTCCTCCTCTCCTTCTCCTTCTCCTTAACTATAAAATATCTAGTAGACGTTTCTCTTACCCTTTCTCTGTTTTATATGGTTCATCCCACCCATCCAGTTTTATCCTCACAACCGCCCCAGAGCCCTTAGGGGGTGAGCGGTATATAAATAGAAGGAAATAAATAAATAAATAAATAAATAA